TGTTTAATGCATTCTCTCCCCCCCCCCCCCCCCCTCTGGGATTAGGCGCCCCCCCCCCCCCAAAACGTCAAGCATAGCTAAAGACACGAGATTTCTAATTATCTTCATTGCCACTGCCTTGTGTCCCAGCCATAAAGATGGTGGGCATAAAATCCTAAGTGCAGAAGTCTCATTGAAAGGCTGCAGTGTGCTGCGTGCAGTACCTTTTATTGTATAGCAACGGGACTATGGGATGACCCAATTTATGACACTCTTCTCATAGGTTCTTCATGTGTATGGCCATACACTGTTAAATGTGATTGTGTGTAGGTCCTATACTCGTAATGCCATACATCGTTAGATGTGATTGTATAGGTCCTGCATTGTTAAATGTGATTGTGTAGGTCCTACATTGTTAAATATGATTGTGTGTAGGTCCTACATCGTTAAATGCGATTGTTTGTAGGCCCTACACTGTTAAAAGGGATTGTGTGTAGGTCCTACATCGTTAAATGCGATTGAATGTTGGCCCCACACTGTTTTATGTGATTGTGTGTATGTCCTACACCGTTGATTGTGATTGTTTGAACACGTCATTAAGTAAACTTATTAGTTTAAATCGATGTTGTTTAGATGTGAACACAATCTTGGTTGGTGTCCATTGTTAGAGGCAATGACATGCATAACAAACATTTTATCATAGGATCACCCTAAAATTGTTAGATTACATAATCCTAAAATTGCTATCAAAGTATCACACTAATATTGTGATATCGCACTAACATACCTACATTATATACTCCTAACATTGTTATCATAATATCACCCTAACATTGTTATCATAATATTACCTTATTATTGTTATCATAATATTACCTTATTATTGTTATCATAATATTACCCTATTATTGTTATCATAATATTACCCCAACATTGTTATCATAATATTACCCTATTATTGTTATCATAATATTACCCTAACATTGTTATCATAATATTACCCTAACATTGTTATCATAATATTACCCTAACATTGTTATCATAATATTACCCTAACATTGTTATCATAATATTACCCTAACATTGTTATCATAATTGTATGTTGCCAATTATCGTTTTTATCCTATTATCATCATAAGAAACATTGCTCTCATAATAGGAGAGCCGTCCCGTGACTTTTCGAGGTCCCCTGACACAATTCGGACTTGTCGCCCCCCTTACCCCCCCCCCCCCCCCTCACTTTTTTCATTCTAAGTTGAACGTTTGTTTTTTTAACATCAAAACTTTGGACCCCTTAAATCTCCGAAGCCCCCCCCCCTTTTTTTTCCCCCTGCAGCCGAGTGGGTGGCAGTGGCAGGGCCCACGCAATGGCTCTGAATTAGTATGCATATCATGCCAACATTGTCCAGGGTTAACTTAAACGCGTGAAGAAAGATCATTTAAAACCTGACACAAACTTCTCTCATTTGTTCCCGTGAAAATCTGTCTATGTTTACACGCGAGGGACATCGTTAAAGTCAAACTCGATGAAAAGAAAAAAGAAGTATTTTTTTTTTGTAAATCAAGCAACACTCAAATCGACACGGCCTCTTCATACCCACGACTCAATGTGACACAGCGTGCCTGGTCATTCAAATGGGCCCAAGACATGGAAATAAACCAGGAGCGCCCCCCCCCACCCCCAATATATAATTTCCCGCTTCACTCTTGATCACGTCTGAGACACCATAAACTTATCTTGGCCAGGTTTTCGTCCCGTGGTAAGCCCCTGCAAACCTAAAAGGCGAGAACAATTCCATCCCATCATAAACAAAGTTGTCTTAGTCCCATATGGTAATGTCCACCAATAAAATGTGCACACGTGTTGCCTGCCGCATTATTGATCTATCGGGGAGAAGTGGGGGGGGGGGGGGGGGGGGGGGACTCACCAAGAAACCTTAACTCATCCCAGGATTGAGCGCCAAAAACTAAAAAAAAAACAACTATTGTTTTGTACGATCCAGTTTTTTTCAGCCCCGAACAAATCAAAACAAAAAATCAAAGTCACACAGAGATACTCAAAGATGGCCCCATTTCGATATCAGTTTAAACCAATATTAAAATCAAAACTCTCCTAAGATAACATTGCGCCCTACACACCAGCCGCAGCACACTCAACTTCACGTGTGTATAGCTAATAATAATAAAAGCTAGAGACATCGCCTGCAATTACTCAAAAGGCGCCCTTGGCAATGACTTAGATTGCCACGAAATGGCGAAGGCTTTGGCTAAAATTAAAGAAACTAATTGTTCTGTAACTTTAAAAAAAAAATTGTTGACTTGTCCACACATATGTCGCTGAAATATCGATCTACAAATTGGTCTGCTGCTTATTTGGGAACGTGATGCAAGAGGTCCACAAAGCTTGTATCTTTGATACTTGTATGTATGTATGGTGGAGTTCCCAGACCAGCGTTATTCGATTAAAATAACTGTTTGCAATATTTGTGCTCGGTGACACGTGCAGGACAAAAGTGGAAACGGTTCTCGGCTTGTGACATGAAGAGGGTACCACGCGTTACAAAGGTAATGGGCGATATTGAAGTCAGAGGCTGGTCCCCAAGTTGATGATATCGAACGTGCAACAGCTGCGCCTTCATGGC